CAATGATTTCTGCATGCATAGTTGCTCCAATTTTGCTCACAAGGAAACAATACAATATGAGCTAGAACCTTACAATCTTTGTAACACTCTAAACTAGTACAATAAACAATTTACCAATCAGAGTACAACACGGAACCATCAGAGTGACTGACCAACATTTTTCTTATTTCTCTTACTTTAAAATAACCATTTTCACAAGAAAATCAACTATAAAAATGAAAATGTAAACTTTATAATGGGGAGCTCCCAAAATAGATATTTACATTCATAATAAAACATACCAACTTTTAATAAATTGACAACTTAACTTTACAATAGGGTTTACAAATATACATGCCCTTAAAAAACTTGAGACGTACTCTGATCTGCTTTGGTTCTAGACATCGATCACTTTAAACTCCTCAATTGCTCCACCTAATCTACTTAAGGAAACAAATTCCAAAAGATGAGCTAACTAGTTCAGTACCACACTAACAACTAGATCATACTAAAAGTGTATCAATAAAATGCTCAGTAACTTAAATAGCTAATCAAGGAGTACTTGATCATGAAATAATGTATAATTTAAGCACTAATCAGATATACAAAACAAAGTTTACAAATATACATGCCCTCCAAGAAGAATTCGAAACGTACTCTGAATATGGTCTGAACAAAAGCTCCTCAACAACTCCAACTATAAATCTGCATAAGGAAACAAATTCCAAACGCTGAAGTAACCAGCCTAGTGCTACACAAACAACTAAGCCATACTAAAAGGGTACATTAAAAAAAATGCTCAAGTCAACTGATAAAATCAAATGATGAGTATACTCGTATACTCACCCTCTACTCTATGGTAGACGTCATGGTGCGGCCGAGGAATTTCTGCATCTCAGAGCTCACACACCACTCTAGTCTATCGAGGATGAGGGTTGGAATCTCTGCATGGGACACATCACCCTCGACTAACCCACCCCTTGTGAGTATCGGACCTTGCTCCCTAGTTAGTCAGTTTAAAGTGTTTTGAGCACTACCTAAGGATATCCAGACTAATTCTAAACTTCTTCTACTTATCTTTACTAAAAGAACTCGAGTGTCCTGATCATTTCTCGAGCATTAATCAAGGCTAATTTTATGTCACCATAATTGATCGTGTTTCTAAATGCAATTAAACAATATTATTGTTCCACTTGAAGTTTTATTTTAGAGTAATTAGGGTCCTTGGGAACCCCTATTGCCCCTTAAAAACTTTTGGGTTTAGTGCCAAAGACTAAACGAGGGTATCGATACCTTATGTTAAATTAAAGCTGAAAATTGGTGACTGGTATCGATACTACTATCCAGTATCGATACTCACAAACTAGGGTATTGGTACCATCCGAGGTATCGATACTGAAATTGGTTTTGATGTTGAAAAATAGACTCTAGGTATCGATACCCCCTAAGTATCGGTACAAAAAATGGCTAATGGAATATTGGTCTGGATACCAAGCCCACCAATATCGATACTCCTTCAAGGGGTATCGATACTACCCTTATAATGTTCACATATTTTAAGCCTTAAACAACCAGTACTGATACTCAGACTCGTGAATGCCCTTTTTGGCCATTCAAACTCACTCACTTTGATACTTTGGGTTATATTTTGTTATTAATATCTTATGTCATGATAAGGGGTCATAAATAAGGCTTTATAACATGCTTAAACATTAAAATATGAATTCTACTATAATCATGCTCAACATGCTTTTAACTCAACCATTAAGCTATCTTGCAATTCTAATGACTCACTAAGGGTATGAATAAGTTGTGAGTATGTTAACTTATCACTTTGAAACAAGGTATGTACAATCATTACCTAATCTCAAGCGATTCGTGTGATGTAGTTTCAATCGAGTTTCTCTTCTTGCCAACAACATTTCTTGTTGCATGGAAAACTGGAAATAAGCTAATAAGCTAATAAGCGATTCGTGTGATGTAGTTTCAATCGAGTTTCTTTTCGGATTTTGCTGCTAATAAGCTAATGTTTCATGGAAAACTGGAAAGTCTAATTATTTTATTGTTGCATTGTTGTTAACAAAGATTTTTTGGTTGCATGATTGTGAACAATGCAAATGGCCTTGATTGTGTGGGCGTGATCAGCTGCAAGTTTTTCTGCCAGAATGTCAAGGTTCGCACCTTGACCCCACTCGCTTTCAAATTCTTGGGGTATATTGATGGAGTAAATGGGTATCGTTTGTGGGATCCCATTGCCCACAAAGTGATCATCAGCATGGATGTTATCTTTGTAGATGATAAACTACAAAGAAAAGAAGACAATGATAGCGTTGAAAATCCAGAGACTACACAGATATATGTGGAAAATGAGGTTGAAGAAAGAGATTCTTTTGAAGCAGAACCATCACATGATGAACAAGAACTAGAGAGTTCTGAAGCTTCAACAACTCGTCGATCAGATTGTGTGAGAAGATGTCCCAATTGGCACTCAGATTATGTTATAGAAGGAAATATTGCATACTGCCTTTTAACAGAGGACGATGAGCCATCAACATTCCAGGAGGCAATAAACAGCTCGGATGCTTCACTATGGATGATAGCGATGCAAGAAGAAATTGAATCCCTTCATAAAAATAATACATGGGACCTTGTGACATTACCACAAGGAAGGAAGCCAATTGGTAACAAATGGGTTTTCAAAATCAAGAGAAATGGTGACGATCAAGTGGAGAGGTATCGTGCAAGACTGGTGGTCAAAAGATATGCTCAAAAAGAAGGTATTGATTTCAATGAAATCTTTTCTCCTGTGGTTCGACTAACAACAGTTCGAGTAGTTTTGGCAATGTGTGCTACATTGAACTTACATATAGAGAAGCTAGATGTTAAAACAACTTTTCTTCATGGAAATCTTGAATAAGAAATTTACATGCTCCAGCCTGAAGGTTTTGAAGAAAAAGAAAAGAAGAACTTGGTTTGCAGGTTGAACAAATCTCTGTACGGTCAAAAGCAGGCACCGAGGTGTTGGTATAAGAGATTTGATTCTTTCATTATGTGCCTTGGATACAACAGACTTAATTCAGACCCTTGTGCTTATTTCAAGATGTCTAGTGATAACAATTTTGTTATATTGTTGTTGTATGTGGATGACATGTTGGTTGCAGGACCCAACAAAGATCATATTGAGGAATTGAAGGCACAACTAGCTAGGGAATTTGAAATGAAGGACTTGGGATCAGCAAACAAGATTCTAGGGATGAATATTCACCGAGACAAAAGTAATAAGAATATTTGGCTTTCAAAAAAGAATTACTTGAAGAAGATCTTGTCACGATTCAACATGCAAGATTGTAAGCCAATTTCTACCCCTCTTCCTATTAACTTCAAATTATCCTCTAGTATGAGTCCTAGCAGTGAAGAAGAGAGGATTAAGATGTCTCGAGTGTCGTATGCATCGGCAGTGGGAAGTTTAATGTTCGCTATGATATGCACAAGACCAGACATTGCATAAGCAATGGGAGTGGTTAGTCGGTACATGGAAAATCCAGGCAATGAGCATTGGAATACAATAAAGAGGATCCTGAGATACATCAAAGGGACCTCAAATGTTGCATTATGTTACAGAGGATCAAACTTACTTATCAATGGGTATGTCGATTCTGACTGTGCAGGGGATTTGGATAAAAGTAAATCTACTACAGGCACTACAGCAAAACTGATATGTAGCGGCATTTTTAGCGGCGTTTGGAAAGAAAACGCCACAAAAGTTAAACATATAGCAGCGTTTACAATCGTAGCGCCACAAATTGATACTTTAGTGGTGTTTTTACAAAAAAAACGCCGCTATAGTGTGGTTTCTTGCGGCGTTTGTTAAAAAACGCCGCAATATATCGGTAAATTAGCGGCGTTTATACCACAAACGCCGTAATAGTGTTAATCAATAGTGGCGTTTTTAGATAAACGCCACAATAGTTTTAATCAATAGTGGCGTTTTTTAACAAACGCCACAATAGTGTAATCAATAGTGGCGTTTTTTTGTATAAACGCCGCAAAATGTTAAATATATAGTCCTCTTTTTCTCCTACCCAAACCCTAAAATCAATTAAACTCTTCTTCCCTCAAAGCTTCTTCTCTGGAAAAATAATAGCTCTCCATATAATGTTTATACATATATCAGTCAATTTAGTTGATGTACATTAGAAATGAAATATGTAAAATCAACTAATATTATCTAAATAAAAGGTAATTAGCGGCGTTTGTATCCAGAAACGCCGCTATAGATCTGACATGTTGTGGCGTTTGTATCCAAAAACGCCGCAAAAGAGTAATATTGTAGTGGCAATAGAGTTGTATATTGTCATTTATAACGGCGTGTTTTAAGAAAACGCCGTAAAATACTTTGAATTTAGTGGCGTTTTTTAAAAAATGCCCCTAAAAAGTTGTACTTTAGTGGCGTTTGTGACATAAATGCCGTAATAGTGTGTCCCTTAGTGGCATTTTCGTAATAAACGCCGTATTAGAATAGTTCCTTTGTGGCGTTTTTAATATAAACGTCGTAATTGTCCTTTAATTTATTAGATATCCCCAATTCTGCAGCCCGAATCCCTTATTTGTTTTATCCCCAAATCTTCTTCCTCGAATTAGCAGTGCATACTTGACAAATCGGTGCACCACTCGCCATCATTACGCCGTGGGTGACCACTGTTGCACAACCAATCATCAACGTCGCGGCGCATCAAGCTGTTGTCGTCAATTTCTAGTCACAAATTTCTGACCATCTCAATCTCAGCTTTGAAACAAGGTATGTACAATCATTACCTAATCTCAAGCGATTCGTGTGATGTAGTTTCAATCGAGTTTCTCTTCTTGCCAACAACATTTCTTGTTGCATGGAAAACTGGAAAACTGGAAATAAGCTAATAAGCTAATAAGCGATTCGTGTGATGTAGTTTCAATCGAGTTTCTTTTCGGATTTTGCTGTTAATAAGCTAATGTTTCATGGAAAACTGGAAAGTCTAATTATTTTATTGTTGCATTGTTGTTAACAAAGATTTTTTGGTTGCATGATTGTGAACAATGCAAATGGCCTTGATTGTGTGGGCGTGATCAGCTGCAAGTTTTTCCGCCAGAATGTCAAGGTTCGCACCTTGACCCCACTCGCTTTCAACTCCAGGGGACAGGGTATTAGTAAGTGCACTCTCCCATGCACCAGTTCCTTAATTCAAATACCAACATTATCTTCGTTAGCTAATCTGAAACAGGTAAGTATTAACAACATATTACTTATGTGATTGATTAATGGTATTAGTTTTCAAGTCGGTCAATCTTAAGTATTAACTTCAGATGGATAGCTGAAAACATGGTAGCGTGATTAAAACAATAAATACCTGTAGTTGGGATCAAAAAGGGAGTGCCGGTGGTAGTCTTGAAAATCTTCTTAACATCTTCAAGAAGAGTTCTTGTCATTGCAGGAATGGCAGGGGAACGGTAATCCTCATTGTTCCTGTTCATGGCCCGAATAACCGGTTCTGGGATGTTAACCGGCCCCAGAACAAAGAGATGGTTCTTTCCCGGTCCATACACATAGTCCATCTTTTCTCCCACTTAGAAATATCACCACCGATAACTTGAATTTCCACTACTTTTCGGTGTTCCAACGTCAACATTGAAAACAAAATCACAGATGATAAATTAATCTGTAATCTCATTCTATAGGCTTCAAATAATATGAATAAATTAGATTCTAATGCAGATTTATTAGGGTGATTGGTTACTAACAGCACTCTATCACTCTATCATATAAATAAACGCAGAGGGAAAACCAAATGAACAAAGAGATGCTAGCAGATTATGGTAGCTATCTAAATCTGGTTATATTTCACATGAGTCTGTTTAGATGTAAATGCTACATTTCGATGAAACATGTGTAAGTATTTAGTTCTATAGTATGCAGTTGTATATAATTCTCGTTATAATTTTTATAAATTAACTGAGATACATTTGCTCCCATACAATTTTATCAATTTAAAAGTTGTATAATTTACGAGTGATTAGTTTTATACTATGCAAATATTATTATGCACTAAATATGATAATTTAATGCTTCTGTTTAGGTTCTAATTTTATCTATATTATTAGCAATTAACATTTGAAATTGAAACTCCAAAAATACGAAATGGATAAGAGTTGGATGGATTTCTCAAGGTAAGCGTCGAATATCGAAATGGAGTCGAAAACTTTCTAAATTTAGCTTTTCTGAATGCAAGCCAAGAAAATATGATTCTTTGCCCTTGTAAGAATTATGTGAACATTAATTGGCACATTCATGAAGTTGTGTACGAGCATCTAGTAATTTTTGGATTTGTTCGGGGGTATAGAAAATGGATCTTTCATGGAGAGATTGTATCAGATAGATCTGCTTCCACGAGTTACTCGACTTATCGTGCTCCTTCTCCCCATCCAACTTTTAGAGAAGATGACATGGAAGGGATGTTACGAGATGCATTTAATATGCACAATCATCAGTCGTATGATACAGAAAATTATTGTCAGGATGATGTTAATGATTTCACTGAGATTGGAAGAAGTGGATGTGATGAAGAGCCAAATGGAGAAGCGGCAAAGTTTTACAAGTTGCTGAATGAAATGAATGAACAACTCTATGAGGGATCAAAGTTTTCAAAGCTTTCTTTCTGCATTCGTCTTTTCCACTTAAAATGCCTGGGAGGGTGGACTGGTAACTCCTTTACGCAATTGTTGGAGTTACTAGGAGAAGTGTTTCCTTTTGCAAAAATCCCTCAATCATGCAAAGATATGAAGAAAATGATCAAAGATTTGGGTCTTGGATATGACAAAATTCATAGTTGTCCGAATGATTGTATGTTATATTGGGGTGATCAAAAAAATCAGGAGTCTTGTCATGTATGCGGAAATCTCGATGGATTACTAGAGAGGCAGAAAATGTTACTGAGGATGAAGCTCAAGCACGATCAAGAAAGAAACCGATCAAGATTCTGCGATATTTTCCTCTCATACCTAGGCTACAAAGATTGTTTATGTCCTCCAAGATTGCTGAGTCTATGAGGTGGCATCATGATGGCAGAACCGATGATGGATTATTACGGCATCCTGCAGATTCTTTAGCTTGGAAGTCATTTGACAACAAGTATCCAAGTTTTGCGAGAGATCCTCGAAATGTCAGGCTCGGTCTTGCAACTGATGGGTTTAATCCTTTCAAACTCATGAGTACTTCGTATAGTACTTGGCCTGTTGTACTTGTTCCATACAATTTGCCTCCCTGGATTTGCATGAAACAATCATCTTTCATCTTATCCATGATAATCCCCGGCGAGAAAGGCCCCGAAAATGATATTGATATTTACATGCAGCCGCTAATTGCAGAGTTGAAACAGTTATGGGAAGGGGTCGAAACGTACGATGTGTTGACGAAGGAGAACTTTAATTTACGCGCTACTTTATTATGGACAATTAATGATTTTCCTGCGTATGCAAATTTATCTGGTTGGAGTACCAAAGGTCGTTATGCTTGTCCTTGTTGTGCTGCACAACATGTTCGAAGTGGTTGGTTAATGGAAAAAAGTTCTCTTATATGGGACATCGTCGGTGGTTACCTGATAATCATAGATTTAGATGTCAAAAGAATATGTTTGATGGTGATGAAGAGTTTCGAAATGCTCTTGACCAAACAACCGGCTCTGAAATATTCAGAATGTTGAAAAATATCAATTTTACTTATGGAAAGATGAATCAACCAACTAGTACACGATCAAAGAAAAAGGCAAAACAGGTCAATGAAGAGCTTGAAGTTGACGAACAAACTGATGATGAGTATGATGAAGAGGATGATCCAAATGAGATAGACTTGTGGAAAAAGAGGAGTATATTCTTCGAGTTGCCTTATTGGAAAAAGCAGATTTTGAGACATAATCTTGATGTAATGCATATTGAGAAGAATGTCTGTGAGAATATTATTGGGACCATTCTGAATGATGGCAGAAAATCTAAAGATAATCTTAAGAGTCGACTTGACTTAGTGGACATGGGAATTCGACATGATCTTCATCCGCAATTACGTCCGAATGGAAGAAATTTCTTGTCGCCTTCTATTTTTTCTCTTTCGAAGAAAGAAAAGAAGTGTTTTGCACGGTGTTGAAGGATATAAAGGTCCCAGATGGGTATGCATCAAACATTTCTCGATGTGTTAGTGTTAAAGATCGAAGACTTTATGGTTTAAAGTCTCATGATTATCACATATTATGCAAGATTTACTACCAGTAGCTGTTCGCGGTTGCATGTCGAGTAAGGTGACGTCTTGTATCATTGAACTTTCTAATATAATGAAAGCCATATGTGGGAAAGTTCTAATGGTTGAAGAACTTGATAAACTACAAGATCGAGTTGCCTTGACTTTATGCAACTTGGAGAAGATATTTCCGCCTTCATTCTTCACAATTATGGTGCATCTGTTAATTCATCTTCCTCACGAAGCAAGAGTTGGTGGTTCCGTTTTCTATCGATGGATGTACCCTATAGAGAGGTGTTAATTGAATTACACGTTTCAAATTACTACTGATTATATATTTGAATAAAATGTATTTACGTAGTATGTTGTTTTCTGTATAGGTTCTTGGGCAAGTTGAAGTCTTATTGTCGTAATAAGCGTTATCCGGAAGGATCAATTGCTGAAGGGTATTTGGCAGAGGAATGTATGACATTTTGCTCTAGATATTTGGAACATGTTGAAACAAGATGGAATAGACCAAATCGAAATGATGAGTTAGGTACTGATGACTTAACTCAACATTATTTGTTTGGAAGTTATGGTCAACCATTAGGGAAAGTTGAAATTGCACATTTAGATGACACGTCTTGGGTACAAGCACACCGATATGTTATTTTCCATCACGATTCAATAGATCACTTTCGCACGTAAGTCTTTCGGACCCAATCCTAATGAAATCTCTTTATCTTTTATATTTATCAATTTTTAACGACATAATATTCTTTATAGTGAGTTTAAAGAAGTATTGAGATCTCGAGCACGCTCCCGAAGATTAAATCAGCGAGAGCTACATAAGTTATTCACAGAAACTTTTCATGAATGGTTAGGCCAGACGGTAAGCAACTAAATCTTACGGAACACTTATAAATAATATATGTCTTGCTTTTTATATCGACATCAATGCAAATTAATTCACCATTCATGTGTAATAGGTTTGGAGTGGGAGAGAAGTTAGTGAAGAAGTTAAATGGCTTTTCTCAAGGTCGAATAGAATAGTTAAAAGATATAATGCCTTCCTCATTAATGGGTTCAGGCTTCACACGAAATCTCGTGAAAGATTAAGGAGGACACAAAATTGTGGAGTCGTAGTTACTTCATCACTACAAGTTATGCTATTGTAAGGGACAATAATTCGCAGGATGGAGAGGTCGATTATTATGGAAATCTTACGGACATTATTGAGTTAGATTATTATGGAAAACGAAAGGTTGTGTTGTTTCGGTGTGACTGGGTTGATGTAAACAGATGTATAAAAAGAGATAAATTCGGGTTTTCAATGGTGAATTTCTCTCGATTAATTCACACGGGTCAACGTTTGATGGATGAACCATATGTATTTTCCTCTCAAGTGAAACAAGTATTTTATTGTCACGATCCAATGGATGACGGTTGGTATGTTGTGCTTCGAAATACTCCCAGAGACTTGATAGACATCGGGGATGGAAGTAGAGATGACATTGAAACAAGATCAGAGTGTTTACCTCTACTACCACAAAACTTAGATGAAACTATCAGTAATACAACACAATTTCAATGGGTTCGGGAGGACGTTGATGAAGATATTTATGACAACTGACATTACATAAGACTGTTGTACGATTTTATATCTTCATTTATTTATTTATAATGTTATAACCCTTAATATGTTATGTTTCAATGTATTCATTAATTAAATCGTTTTTATTACTCATGTTTGTTTATTACAGATATAATGTCGAGGAGAGAAATATCTGATTTGCGGGTTGTTCGAGCTTCTGAAGACCATGTAGAAAGAAATAACGAGGAAACGAATGCACCTGAGTCTTCCGAAGTTCCTGAAACTGTTGAAGAAGTAGAAATTCAAGGTAATCTTCGAAACTTTATTTACTACTTTGTTCATTTTCAAAACTGACATTTAATAATTTCTTATATAGTTGAAAATGCTGGAACGCGCAAGACTCGAGGTCGTACAACTTTAAAGGAATTATACCAACTTCCTCCTAGGCATCATGTCAAAGTTTCAAGAAACGATGCCGGTCAACCTATTGGCCCAGAATCACGTCTTCTAGCAGGTTACTTAGGCATAGTTGGACGTAATGCGAATTTGTTATCGATCAATTATGAGTCATGGCGCAAAATGCCTAATAGTAACAAAAATCAAGCGTTGGATTTTGTTAAGGTAATAATGTCATTATAATAGATACTCTATATAAATTCAATACTAATTTATACTTACGGTGCACACTTATTTGCTGTATAGGAGAAATTTGTTTTAGAGGTCTTTGACGATTATGTGAAGCAAGCGTTAGGGAAGAGATTGAGGGATCACAAGAGCTCCTTAAAGAAGAAATACTTCAAGAATGATCTCAGCCTTGAATAGAAGTTGCAAACAGTCCCACCAGGAACGCTCAGGTACCAATGGGAAGATGTAGTCAGATTTTGGAGTTCTCAAAAAGGACAGGTATGATGTATTTTTCATAAATACTTGTAACAAAATTTAAATCATCATTATAAGTGGTTGTTTGACATTGTAGGACTGAGAGCATGTTGGTGTTGCTAG